CAAGAACATTTGCAATTAGTTGATACAAAGACATAAGAGTTGATTAGCTCTTTAACTGGACCATCTGCTTCAACATTCAATATCATCAGTTTGAATTTGGGTTGACAATTTGAGTATAATGGCATCTTTTTATCTAAACAAGGGTGAGTGGAAGAGGGTAAATCTTCTCTTATTTGCACGTCTCACTGGAAATCCATCAGCAGGACACAAGAAATATTTTTCGGAATTGGCCTTTGCATTGACAGAACAATATGTCTGTTAATACTATTATTTTGTCCACAGCTTTTCATTACAATCTGCAACACGATGAAGAGAATGCTCGCAGGGTACACACCTTTTCCCTATTCTTTTTCTCATTTCTAGACAGTTTCTGCAAAACAAGTGAAGCTTACCATTTCAAGTTATGCTAGCTTTATCACGCCAAGAATTAAGCTACATGATCACATTATATTTTAGCTATCCTAATAAATCATCTCCCTGATTTCCTCTCTTTCTCTATATTCCATATCAATTCATGGTGTAAAGGACGTGGACATTGAATATCTTTACCCAAAACAAAAGCAGGCCTTCCCATTATTTCCTCTAAACACATGCAATAATCCATCACATATGTTCTAATCATTATTCACAAAATCAATATTAAAAAAAAAAAATCAAGTCAATAACACGAAAGACTAACATAAACTCTTCCCAATATGTATAATACATATCCAAACCCTATAACTAACTATCAAAATTAAGCATGTGAAGAAATAACAAGTCCGAGAGTCAAGTACACATCAATGTGAACATCAGCTACACTCCTTGCTGTATCCTGGCCCCATAGCCATTAACTCACTTACACCATTGGAGTTACAAGGGTACTTATTAATTGAGCTATCACCTTCCTTTTTCTCTTCAAGACAATAAACCATGTGAAAGCTGCAAGGGCAGCTGCCATGGCTCCAATTCCTATAATTATACCAATGTATAATTCTTTTCAGGCTGAGAATAATCACTGTGTAGCCAACAACATAGTGGTAGATGTTCCAATAAAATCTAGGATCTGGCTTTGGCCTCAATAGCAAGGCGAATACCTACAAGTACATAGCCAACAAAACTAATTAAAGAAAGAGGAAATTTTTAAAAAAAAAAAAAAAAGAAAACGAGAGATATGTAGCACCTTGCAGCGTAGTTATCTGTATTAATGAATAATTGATAATGAAATCTTTGAGTATATGCTGATTTCCTACATTTTACCTAGAGGGAATCCTCTCTTTTTCCTACTAATTTGTAAAGGTAGTTATTTAATTTTAGAAACTGGCCACGATACTCTGTAATGAAGCCAAATTTCAAAGCTATGAACAAAAAAAAAAAAAAAGTCTCCCTTTGGATGGCAGATTTTTAGAGTGTTGCTGGAATAGTTTTAATGTAACACTATCTTAAAATGAGTCTACGTAAGATCGAAAGTGTTACAAGATTTCTAAGAACACCCATCCAAGCATGGAAACAAAAAAAAGGTACCTGAACTGTTGCGAGGCAGACCATAGTGATACCAATGCCCTTACGGGTGTCTTGTGAAACTACAGATTCATAGCCAAGTTTGAGACCTGCTCCCAATCCAGAAACACCTCACAAACTAGCCATTGAAAATTATGAGCTGGAAAACTTCCTGATGGACACAAATGGATGCTTTCAAGAAATGGAATCGAGTCCTTGACTGCCATGGCCGAGTCGGGCAACAATATTCATTCATGCTAGATGGTCTTCGTTACACCGATATGGTATAATAATATATGCATCTTTGTTTACACCAACTTTTGAGAGCTCTACCTAATAATTCTACGTCCCAGGCTGTGAAATACAATTTAGCCTTTTTCCTAAATGAATGTATACTTGGCCAGCATTATAATTATTACGAGCATAAGATTACTATTATTTGAGTTGGTACAACAGCTTGTAAAAAAATGGGGAAAAAAAAAAAACACATGAGCCAAAGTACTCGAAACTTAATCAGCAAAAACTATAAGTAATGTAGTAGACTGATGCATGCACAGGATCATCATAGTAACAGCTAGCTGCACTGGAGAAAATGAAAATACTAACAATTATAGCAATGACCCGTCCAGAACCAGACGAACAGTCGAATACTTTATAAGATGGGTTGAGTACGAAATATATATATATATAACTAGAAGGGCTCTTTCAATAGCAGCATCCAAAACGCCCATACCGGCTCAATTCATTATTTTGAGATAAAGGATACAAAAAGTAAAACTAAGAAAAATTGCAATTTTTTCGTTTTATATAAACAATTTTTTTTTCTTTCTTCGACTTTGCATTGAAAGAACATACTTCAAAATGATATGATTTAACCTCGAATACATTCAAATGTAACAGATGAAAATGGAACTCAGAGAATTGATGTGTATTCGAATCATCATGGGAACTATCAATCGTTGGTATGCTCACGAGGGGAGAAACCCAATCAAGGCGAAAATCCCACAAAATTGTTTTGGGTTCTTCGGGCCTGTGTTGTCAATGTCTAAAAAGGGCCTGTGTTGTCGGCCATTCGATTCCCAGAATTACTATCTCGACCCAAATTCGATATTTAAGAGTCAAAATACGGAATAGACTAATTAACTAAATCTGATTGTCACTAACTACCTATGTTACGGCCCAGGTTTTTTAATTTAGAAAACACGTTTTTTCGGTCTACCTACTCTTTGGAATTGGGCTACAATGCTTTTTTAGCTGAAGGAGCTATTTGGGATTTTTCAGTTGGATCCACCAAATGGACAGTACCTCTAAAAAGAACGAACGATTTAGTTGACAAATAAATTTGCGCATTCTTTCATGACCCAAAAAGGGGAAAAAAAAATAAAACAATTAAGTCTTACATCTTCCTGGCAATTTTCTATTGAAAAATGTGTGTTTGGAAAATGCAATCACCTTTTTACCATGAACACATTTTTCATCCTTTTTTACCTCACATATATCAAATCGCTGCAGTAATTTTTCTATAAACAGTTCAAAAAAATGCAATCCAAACAAGTTGTTGCTTTCTCTTTGTTGAAATCTGTGGTACGTTCTAGGTAAAATTTTCATTACGTTGTGGATGGTATAATAAAAAGAATTAACTGCAATATTCATGAAATTCTTGATGGTTGCCCACACTTTAACATTATAAAATGAACGTTTTTAACTGCTACTGTTTTCATGCTTATGAAATGCAATCATATGCCTAAATGCAACCATCAGTTTTTTATAGTTATTTTTGGTCACGATTATAACATACTCACACATTTGTTGCATTTTCCGTATGAGAGTTTCCAGTTCTTGAAGTGGAATGTGTAACCAGAAAATCGTCCCTAATTTGACACCAATTTGAATAACCCCAAAGAACCACTTTTGCATATTCTAATATGCAAAAGAAATCTGATTTGAGCATAGGAAAATCCAAAAACTGGAGAATCTTCCTTTTTGTATACATAATCTGTGTGCATTGGAACAAAATAGACAAAGTCCTACGACTTGAACAAGCCTCAATTCCAGTGATCATCCATCTCCTGACGGCTGTACTGATGCAGTTTTGTTTTCTTCTCCTTTGAATCACTACTGACCAGACATTGTTGCTTCAATGTGGGATGCGATGGCGGAGGTAACAGGGCGAAGGGTGCAGGCTGCAGGCTGCCGTCTTAAAATCTGAAATTCATCAACTCCTTTTTTGCATGGTATAAAAATGGAATGGATTTGTTAGATTTTTTTTTTTTTTTGGCCTATGCAAAAACTTAAAAAAACATTTTACGTTACAGAATTAAGTACATGTAGAGTAAAGTTTGTCCCACAAGATAAATTTTCTAGTTCCGTCTATGATAATATGGGCGCACACCGGTGCCAATAAACTGTCACCAAATAAATCATTCATCTTCTAATATTCATCATAATACTTTGTATCGAATAAATATGTGCATGGTATGACATAACATTAGTACCAATCACTTACTAAGAATTGATGATGGTGATTGCGTCATGTACCTAATATTTTCCACTTGAACTATCATGATTCTATCGATAGATTGTTTGGATAGTTATTTATTTACAAAAATTTATTTGATTGCATCATCAACATATTCGGTTCGACGGACATAAATAATAAGAGCCATTAATGCAACGTGTGGATTTGGGAACGTCCACATTAAACGATGGATCAACCATTGTGTGCGGAAGACTTGCTTCAAAAGTTGGACAATCAAATTGAGAAGTTTTGCTGACCAACGCAATAAGTTTTAAATAAGATCACAAGACCTACAACTGATTTCCATGTCATATAGATTTTGATTTGTAGCAAACGTTAGATCTATTTTAGTTTGACACCATAAGCATAATTTCATACCAAGATTTTCAAACAATCAGTTAATCCCACCTGCTCCTATCAAATTATCAAAACTTATATATAGCATGGATTGAGTGTGGATAACCCACAAATTACTTTTGTACGTGTTGCAAATTAAGGTGCATGTATTTTTTTTTTTTGGGGGTAAAATCACTGTACTATTAGATATTGGACCAATATTTGATTATGGCATCTCAATACTAACAGAAGATGTGCCGATAATAGAGTAAATTCCTCATATTTGATTACGGAGAGAGCTGCAATTTCAAGAGGACTACCAAGTAGTGTGAGAGCTCATGAGCATCCTTCTTCAGCTGGCATTTCTGAGCAATGACAAGAATTAAGCTTCTGCTACCAAATGTAATTAATCATTGCTGAATTTCTGAAGTATATTCTTGTAGTCAGGCAATCAAGGAGTAAACAATTCATGTGTGAAATCAAGGGAAAGAATTGTTGGAAAGTATGAACAACTTCTTCTCTGGGTAGCATAAAAGAATCAAAAAGTTGATAACTTAGTCTACACTCAACCGTTTTTTGATTAAGAGCCATGTATCTCCACCTTTCTTTTTCCACAAAATCTGCATCAAGAAACCTGGAAACAAAAGCCCAGAGCCGATACAAGTCCTCAAAGTTGGTCAAAAACCTGACAGAAGCTGAGACACAGAAATTTCCGAATCAAATTGACCTCCCTTTTTTTGTGCTCCACTTCTCTTCTTTCAGTGTTTTCCTTCTCTAATATTTTCTGCTTCTCTTCCTTATAATTGTTTTCAAACCACACATGCTGCAAGAATCCGCATGCAAGAGAAACATTGTTTCGGTCAGCTAACTTCTGTACAAGAATTGGATCGATTTTGTCTCCTTTCCAGTCAAATACATTGAAAGCCACAGCCGGTGCTCGGTTAATGCTTATTTTTGGTCCGTAGATTTTAACTAAGGCAGCCCCATTTTCTGAATGTGGATGTCGAAGGCACAGCAATGCATTTACTAGCCAGTTTATGTGGTACCGATTTCTGCTACTGATCACAATTAGGCCTACTTCATCTGCATGATCTAATCCCCTGCATTCAATCGTTTCTGAGCTTCTTATACCACTGGGACTTGCATCATTTGAGACAACCCTTTTATCTGATTTTAATAACTCGGAAAATGATGGTTCCTCCTGAGTTTTGCTGCCATCTTCTTTAACTTCCTGCAATTCAAAGGCTTCTTCACTTGAGCTAAAGGATGAGCTAAGCAATCCTGCTTCCTCTCTCCTGAACAACATTCCTAAGGTCACAATTTGATCTTTACTTTCTGTTTCAGAGATAGTGGATTGTCTAAAAAGGTTTCCTGTTGGGATAAGACTGACAACACCAATGCTTGTGGAGGATTTGTTTAGCACTGAGATACTAGACTTCTTCACGAATAAACAGCTAAAACCAGAAGGGTTTTCCCCAAACACCTTGAAGAATGAACAGACGATAAAGTCAGGAAGAAACAGAGTTAGCCCAACGTCTCCATCTCCTTGGCTGCTAACGCGTCTGCATCAAGCAAGACATGCCAACCATTTTCTTGCGCTTTATACATCCATTGATAAGAATATGTTGCTCCAGTCATTCTTGACTGCAGGGGAAGACAAATAATCCCCTCTTCTTCTTCTTCTTCTTCTTATTCTTACGGATCATCTTCCTAAGCTTTTTTGCATTTATCCTCAAACTAGGCCATGAGAACTTAGCTGACAATATTCGGCTCCATCTTCTTGGAGCTTTCAATCATTGCTTCTGTTGCTTCATTCTTGTAGTCATAGACTGTAAGAAGTTTGTGATTAGTCGGAAGGGATATGAATCTGCCAAAAGCTTGAAAGCGGAGGCCTGGTTAGCAGTGAAAACCATGGAATAATCATCTTCAGAGATATTCATGTATTTCATGATCCTTTTTCTCATTGCCAATTCAAACTCTGATTTTTCGCCACCGTAACGTAGCAGAGAGATCAAATTGACGGACTTGTATGAAATATCAAAAAAAGGTACTTCTGAAGCGGTAGAATCTTGTGTGGTGGAGGAGATGAAGAAGTAGAGGCAATTGCAGCTCCAGAATACAAATTCTGTTGCTGGGAATGTGAGAAAAGGCCATTGCCAGTGTAGTCCAGGCAGACATGATTTGAGAGAGAGATGATAGTACTCTTGTGATCTAATTTGGTCAACCGAATCTGTATTTGAGTATTGCCGGAAGGAATTTTTAAGGTGGAATACAATTCTCTCCATGGAGGGAGAGATTCGTGATTAGTAAACGAGGTGTCTGGTCGGATTGAGGAACAAATTGCAGAAAAGAAATCTTGCTTGGGAGTGGTGGCAGTTTAGTAAACTCGGAAGTGGGAGTAGGGGCCTCGGCAGGCGAAGACAAGGATTTGAGCACCAACTTGAACAGGCTTTTGAGGCCTCTCTGACGCAAGGTACTTCCATATCGCTCTTTAAGTTCTACATTTCTTCAGACTTCAAATCCTGCACTCCCTTTTCCTTGTTTTCCCTTATTTTCCATCTAACTTTGTGATAAATAACTCACCTAATGCAGCAGAAAAAAGTTTCATATGTGCAAGTTTCTGGAATGGTTATTGAATGCGTTACCGCAGGGGGAATTTTCCAGCATATGCTGATTGACCATGTCTACCATGGATTGCAGTGCCTTCCCTCTCACATCTCAATGTCGTATACGGGGCGTTTAGTGCTTTCTTTCCTTTACTCTTTGTACTCTGAGATAAATCGGTCAATATCACCTTTCTTTGTTATTGTCAACCATCATGTGAGGGGTAATGTACATTTTCTTTCATTTCCATTAAAGGCGGATTAGAAAGTTCTCCGGCTAACAGGCACCTCCCCGGAGGAAAATCTTATGAAGCCGAATATTTGTCAGGATATAAGTTTCTTGTGCAAGTACTACTTAGACATGTATACAGTTATGCAAAAATTGTATCATGGGACTTGAAATCTCCACCTGATTGATGCTTAAAACTTCCTAAGCCACCCATGTTTCTTTGGGATTTGAGACAGGTACCGTTGAGATTTTTGTGCGATTATTGTATTTTTTTTACATGATTTGATAGTAAATTTTAGGGAAAATACACAAACTCAACATATCAGCACAGCCACATCTCTAAGCAAATATTGAAAAGAAAACAACGAACGCGTCAATTGCATCAAGAGCCATCTGTGTAGGTAACAATTAACATGGCCATAGAGTGATGCAGAGAGCTGAAAGTCTTCGTCAACATGCACTGAGATGTTTTACACCTCCAGGCATTGGTTCATATAATTTCGATCAGACAGAGAAAGTTAAGTTAGGACCATCACATTGTATAGCCCAGCACATGCTCTTATCAGATTAGTCTCTGATTTTGTTTCATTTGGAGTAAACCAAAGACTAGTTCTTAGCCACTTACGCATGGAATGGTTGCAAGTGTTTCACGTAAGATAAGGAAAGCAACTTGATATAGAGCATCTTTGTTGAGCTGCTGGAGCGGAGCAAAGGACAAGTGGAAAGCCTACAAACATTTTTTGTAGTGGCCGGCACTATACAGCCATGCAGATCAGCTTGAAGCTTTCACAAGAATGGTTCATTATTGTACTCATCGTTTATCACAGCCACATAACACCAATAATTAACCCCTCTCCCTGAATTTGTTTTGTAGCTTACACTACAAATATTTATCTAAGAAAGAATCAGTTCACTGTGTCAATTTTCAGAAGAAAACAGTAGGAAAAGAATTCATCCAGCTACGAATGCACTAAAAAGCTGTAGAAGAATACATGTATGGCTATTGATTTGAAAAATTCCACACACACACACACACATCATTCTCAATTTGCATATTTTGCACGTCTTTTTGGCAAAGGAAAAAAAAATATTATATCTGAACTGTAACATCAGTACATCACCAGGCTGGCATTAATTTTGACAAATTTTCACGTTATGGGTCTCTATCATTAATAAATGCTTCAACCCAGCCCATCCTGCCCACCTGAATCAAACTCAAAGCCCTAAACATGAGGGATTCACGTGAGCCCAAAAGATGAGGAATTCAGTCAAGTCAAGAGTGGAACACCTTAATGATGATGATGATGATGACGATCATTTTGGATCCTACGGTTTGCTGTTAATTATGGTTAAATAGAATCGAAACATCCCTTCTTATAAGCCCTATATAATAAACTCTTATGTTGTATAGAAGATTTTTTTTTTTTTTTTTTTTATAACGAGTCAGACATATATCTCCCTGTCAGCCGTGTCAGAGGGAGGATATCTACTTATCTGCATTAATCCAATTGTTTCATAATTTAGCTTAAATTCAATTTCACCAATTTGGGCTTGTCCAAGCACTAATTTCAGTTCCAATTGAAAAAAAAAAAACAGTATTGGTAACCTTATGCCTTCATGCAGAGAGAACGTACATTGCGATGTAATCTCTGGGTCAAATGCTAAATTCCTTCCTTACGGCCAGTACCTTTCCATGCCTTTCTTGGGTTGCGAGAGCAAACCGGAAATGTAGACTTTCAGGACATGTTTGGACAACGGGACATGTTATTCCACCATTTGACATTAGAAGTTTATATTTGACATTGGCGATAAATCAAAACCAAAATGAACAATGATTAGTTACCAAAATACTCCAGATGTTATGAATATATTGACTTTGGTGCCTGTGGAGCAGGCAAATAGCAATATATAAGGGCGAGTGCAGCGTGATTGATTGTAGAACAAGTCTTTAAGGTGAAAATGCTGTGAAGATTCTTTGGATGATGGATTGAACTCAGGTCATGATGTTGCTTTAGAGATTGGTGGAGCTGGTAGTGGACAAAATGTTACTGATCAAAGAATATCACCTATGGACCATGATGTCCAACTGAGACATGACGCAAAATAAGCAGCCAAAAAAAAATTATCACTGTTGAGAGTGGGATTTGAACCCACGCCCTTTCGGACCAGAACCTTAATCTGGCGCCTTAGACCAACTCGGCCATCTCAACTTGTTGATGGCAGCTACCAACAATGACATCAGATGGTTGCTTTCGGTCGAAATCTTTATTACTCAATAACTTGGATAGCCTAAAAGGTTTTTTTTTTTGTTTTTGTTTTGGGATAGAAAGAATGATTTCATTCAATAAATTTACACTAATGACTGAAAATGCATCAAATCAAACATTTGAAACGTTAAAATGTCATGGGAAAACTTTCTTGATTGACCAAGTTGAGAAGAAATAATACTTGTATGCGGTGACCCAATATACGATACCGTTTCATCTCATAACATTCTAACGAACTTTCATATCTAGCATCAATTTTGTCTGGTATGAAAACTTGAAGCAGGAAATATGAACATGCAAGAGGGATTAGAATAGCAAATTTAGATGGTATGAGACCAAAATGATAAGCTTAGAACATTTTGTCATACTCTAGGCAACATCAAGAACATGTAATTTGTGTATTTTCATATGTAAATGCTTGAGAAATGAAAATCGAATTCGTAAATATGTTCTCAATTTCATATATAGTTACATTTCATTGTTAAAGATATTTCACTTGCCCTATAAATACTCCTAACTTCTCATTTCCTTTCATCCAATTATTATATCCTAGCTTAAATAATTATATCTCCTTTTTTTTTTTCTTATCTCCTCCTTTTGTTATCCTCCATATACACATTTCTACTGAATGGAGTTGGCAATTGTTGAAAATTTTGATCTATAAATCCACACAAGTTGGCTACCTAAGATGGAGGAGACTGGACTAGATTATGAGCATGAAATGGGAAAAGGGAAATTAAATTGTTATGAAAAATATTCATGACAAATTAAAGCCTTACGCGAAAATGTTTATATTATCGTAATTGAATCTTCGAAGAACTAATCGATTATTTTTGTGCTTAACTATAGCGTATTTGCTTCTTTGTATTCTATAATTCATGTTTTCTCTTCTTATATCTCAAAAACGAAGTCTCCTCAAATCAGGAGTCTGATTTTACTCTAATTCTTTTTCCTTTCCATGTATTTAAAGATCCACAAAAATAAAAAAGTTGCAAAAGAAGCATTACACAAGAAAACCATATGTATGGTAAGTTGGTAGTCCAGAAGTACATTGAAACGGTACATTTGGAAGTCTAGGACATGTTTAGGTTACTAACATGCAGGGAATACAGCACGTAGAGTTAGTTTTAGGTAATTAGTGCGATTATTATACTTTTTTTATGATTTGGTGTATATTCACGTGAATTTATTGTATTTCATAATTTGATGTATATTTACAAAACTTTTATCGTACGTTAAAAATACATTAAAATTATGTGAATGTACACTAAATTATGAAAAAAAATATAACAATCATATGAAGCGCATTTAATGCTAACCGTACCTGCACCAAACTCCTAGCGTACCACCCACAACAATCTTTGCCTGCCCTGCAACACAAGTTGGGACGCTACGTACCTGGAACTGTCATCCAAATGGTTTCTTGAAAATTAACAAACTTTTACCATGAAACGATAATCCGTGCAATCTTCGAGCTCCATAATTCATTCTCAATGAACTGCATGTAAGACTTTCAGAGCTTCAGAGACACACATGAATTAAGGAAACAACTAGATTTCTTAATTAGACTAGCTAGGCAGAGTTAAAGATAATGCCTAGTCTTCCCGTTTGATCGTGGTCTTGTCTTTGCATGAAGAGCAGCAAGAAAGGGGTTATGTTAAGCTGAGGAGTTATAGGGCAACTCTCCTTTGGCAGGTTACGAAGAAGTTGGCACGAAGATTTACATGGCACCAGTACTCCATCAACTGCCAAGAGGAGATCTGCCCTAAAACTGGCTCGCTTATATATTTTCTTCAGTCAAGGGATGGACTCACTCTTTCTTACATGCCTTGAAGGACCAAAACTGAAGTCTAGATTTATATATAGCCACTCTTTGGGTTTCCCTGTCTTCTGGAAATCGAATAAGGGGGGTTGAAGAAAGATAGCATATGGCATAGGGTTTTATGCCTTCGGATATACCGTTGATTATGCCTGCTTTTTACGCATTCCATGGCTCCATGTAGGGCTGCTTTTATCAGAAAAGGCCCCTTAAATGGCTTGGGAAAATGCGGGAGA